CGCAGCTGTCCAGGCTCGGGGGCTGATGCCTGCTCTGCACCCACCAGCTGCATGTGGTCTGAGACGGAGCTGTGCTCCTTGGACAGGGGGCCAGAGCTGGCCGGGCCTGGGCAGCTGGGTGCAGAAGTCTTCTGGAAGCGCAGCACAATGATGCTGGCGGCCACAAAGGTGTAGGCGAGTAGTGTGCCAATAGACAGGAACTGGACCAGCGCTTCGAGATCCATCAGCAGTGCCAGGAGGGCCGTGAGGATCCCGAACACCATGGTAGCTACCACAGGCACCCGTGTCCGGGGGTGCACGTAGGCAAACATTGGGAAGAGGAGCCTGTCGACTGCCATGGCGTAGATAATGCGTGGCAGGGAGAAGATATTGCTGAGCAGGACAGTGATCATGGCTGTAGAAGAGGGTAGCACGCAGTCAGCATGGCGGACACACCTCTCCTGGGGCCAGAGCATGGGTCGCTCCTTGTGAGTTTGTGTGGGCTCTCTGAGTGGGCATCAGTGTGTGGGGTACTGTATTGTCAGATCCTTGCCCCAGGAATGAGACACTCCAGTTTAGGTCTCAGGCCCTTCGGAGAATCTGACCAGAGCTGGATCCCTCTCCTCAGGAAACCCATGACCAAAACTAGCATTCTGTGTACAGTTTTTGGGGAAGTCCCTCCCAATAAGCCTGGGTGGAGAGTTTTTTTCTTTTTTTTTTTTTGAGACAGAGCCTCAAGCTGTCACCCTGGGTAGAGTGCCATGGCTTCACTGCTCATAGCAACCTCCAACTCCTGGGTTCAAGCGAGTCTCCTGCCTCAGCCTCCCAAGTAGCTGGGACCACAGGCGTCCGCCCCAGCGCCTGGTTATTTTTTGGTTGCAGCCATTATTGTTGTTTGGCGGGCCGGGCTGGATTCAAACCCGCTACCTTAGGTGTATGTGGCTGGCGCCTTAGCCGCTTGAGCCACAGGCACCGAGCCGAGAGTTTCTAATAATTAGCACTTTCCTGGGCCCATTATGCAACTGGAAAAATCAAGGCACAGATGATAGTGTGTTCCCTGGAAGATTCTGTTCCTTGCCACCCTTCCCAGAAAGTGCCCTTACCACAGATGGAGCCTGCAGCTACAATGTAGCCAGTCCAGCTGTAGCCCCTCCGGTGGAAGGCGTCAGCAAATGGGGAGTTGGGGTCCAGACTACGCCAGGGCACCATGAGAGTCAGCACGGTGGAGACGAGAACGTACGAGACTGCCACCGTGCCAAGTGCGGTGGCAATGGCCACAGGCACAGCCCGCCTCGGGTTCTGGGCCTCCTCACTGGAGTCAGTGATGATGTCAAAGCCCACAAAGGCATAGAAGCAGGTAGCAGTACCGGCTAGGATGCCAGAGAAGCCAAAGGGTGCAAAGCCCCCCTCCTCTGCACTCCAGTTGTGGGGCTCAGCCAGGATAAAGCCCAGGATGATGATGATGAGGATGGTGAGCAGGTTGATGACTACCAAGGTGTGGTTGAGCCAGGAGGAGACCCGAGCTCCACAGGAGACAAAGACAGCGGCCAGAAGGAGGATTCCGGCAGCCAGGAAGTCTGGGTAGTGGCCCATCAGAGGCACCTGCCAGGATCCCACATGGGTCACGGTGAAGTTTCGGATTCTGTGGCCAAAGATAGAATCCAGGTAGCCACTCCAGGCTCGGGCCTCAACAGCGGCACCAATGAGAGATTCGAGGATAACATTCCAGCCGATGAGGAAGGCCCACAGCTCACCCATGGACACATAGGTGAACAGGTAGGCAGAGCCTGTGCGGGGCACACGTGCCCCAAATTCTGCATAGCAAAGGGCTGCCAGGAGGGAGGCCACAGC